CACGCATGCATATACATGAATAGAGATATATGGACATATTTTTTTTATATGTAATTATATATAATTAAATATAAATAGACTTTTTTACCGAGTGTATATGAAATAAATTAAATATATAGCTTCCGCTTTGATATCGCACAAATTCCTGGCTTCTTCTTTCGCAAGTTTAACTACGGTAAGAACACTGCATTATATATATATACACAGGGTTATGTATTTCGTAAGAGTTACAGTACGATTAATATAAGATAGCGTGTTAGAGAGTTACATTCGTGTGTACGCGCACGTAATGTATTGCTCTGTCTGTGTGTGTGTGTGTGTGTGTGTTTGTGTGTTCACGCATGCGTCAGTGTTAGTGTCGGTGTATAGAGAATCGCCTATAACGCATTCGTCGTAACAGTTTGATTGGATCTAACTACGATTGATACTCGAAATGGGCATATAAATTCATAGCGTGGAATTATTATTCTTGGGTCTAACGAGAGCGACGTTCTAGGCCCGACAGATTCGCGTGGACGGGTAACACGAAGGGGTAAGGGGAAGATGGGCAAGAGAAGGTGGAATAATAGAGGGAGGACCGAAGGGAAACTCGACGAGGGCAGGAAGGGAGAAGGGAGTATATATAACAGGAAATATATTTGAGTTTTCATTTAATCATAACTATTCATTAGAGATCCAATGTCTTCTCTCTTTCTCTCTCTTTCTTTCTTTCCCTCTCTCTCTCTCTCTCTCTCTCTCTCCTCTCTGATAATCTTATACTCCGGAATACTAAACTCTCAAAGTGACGTCATATAATATTACTTTTATTTTAAATTCATGATAATAAAGTCATCTATGCGTATGAGAGCTTAACTGCGCGTCAACGTGTCTCATACTGTCGCGCATGCACGCCGAAACGCGGAATGCGCGTGTCGATGTGCACTCGTGACTTCGATATTAATACGTATATACAGTCTGTCGAGAAAGAAAAATACAAATATGTATATAACACGCGAATATATTTCTCATCCGATTCGAAGGTAATCCCAAGTTACCCCGTTTGATGCGTCCTGGCCAGTTTTTTTCTATTTATTTTTAAACGAGCTTTGAACCCATCAAATGAAACTTTTTTTGTGAATAAACAAAAAAGTCATACAAATAAACAATAAAAATTCGTTCGAAGCCACTTCGATTATCCTCACCGAAGTATGTCGAATATGACATGGATAACTTTCGGAAGTTTTTATCCTTTTATACCTAAAATCAACGTAATACTCCAATTTATAATTTATCGCACACTTTTTATTTTATTTTAATGGAGTTTACACGCATTAATGGAATTCGCTTTGCTAGTCGATAATCAAGGTGATAAAAAGTGTGCAATGTTGAATTTTTCGCAAAAAAAAAAAAAAAAAAAAAAAAAACGAATTTGCGAGGAATATATTCGCAAATTTTCGCATTCTTCTTTCTCAACATCCTGTACATACAGGGAGTCTCTAGTCAGTCGCGCTTTTGTTCGACGATAAATATATTTTATATCATGAAAACAATTTATACCGAATGCATTAAAAAAAAATCCCAAATCCAGTTGGTACATCGTATTTCTCATTATCAATCTTAACGTGTTGTCAACATCACGCTGAATAAAACTTATAAGTAAAGTAAACAGTAAAGTTATTTATCTGCTTCTCACGAGTCAGTCTCTCACTCAGAGACTGTCGCCACTGTGGAATTTATTTCTCTTACGTGCGATTCTCTTTAACTATCAATGCGTTAAGTATTATCGACCGAATACGCGAATGACTAGAAACACCCTGTATATACATATATATATATATATATTTATATATATAACATATATAATCGCTACCTGCATATCACAACATAAATTTTATTCTCTCTTACTCTCGCTCTCTCTTTCTCTCTCTTTCGCTCTCTCTCATTCGCTTTCTCTTCCTCTTTCTCGCTCGAACGTAATACATTCAATTTACGCAAGCATGCACACGATCCCGTCTACATAATTATTATAATGCTGCAGTACTGTGATAGTGGTTGAGTTTCTAAGCATTGTAGCGCCGTTCCAGGGCGCGTCTCGAATGTACGCTTACAACAGAACGTAGCCTTTTGCTACTCAATCCCTCTCCCTGGAAATTCTATTCGTCTTACCGTGCATACACACGAGTTCCTTATACGGGGCGAACAAAACAAGATTACAAACATCCACGGCGAATGCGTAATTGTTCGCGTCGCCCTCCTCGATCTTCGAGGCCGGTTGCACCGACGCAGAGTAGTGCTCTAACTGCGGTTAATTGAACGATAGTTAAAGTTAACTGACGTTTAACTTTCTTAGAATCCGCCGATTCTGATTTCGCTGCGCGCGCGAGATAGACGCGGAATTAAATTAAATTTGTTAAATTAATTTAGATCAAGTTGAGAGCGTGTGTGAGTAATCGAAACTTAAGTTAACTGAGAGGATTAACGAAAGTTAACCGACTTATGGATAACGTCCCTCTCACGACATTATAATTATACGGTCATAAATCTAGGAAAAGACGGGTCATCGCCGACCAAAATTTAGTTAAAACTGTTAACTAAATTTACGATCGTCTTTTTTCTTCATCGATATCATAGCTATAGCTATATAATCTAGGGAAAGGATAAGGAATCCCTAAGCACAAAATTTAATTAAGACTGTTAACTACATTTACGATTATTTCATTTATATTCTAATGTAACAATGTAAACGCTGTAGAAATGAAGAAATATCGCCGTATGAAATTAATCAGAATAGTTAATAAAATTGATTATATTCAGTTAACTCTAAGTTAACTCTGGGTCGTTAACCAAAATTTAGTCAATTAACTAATCTTACGAACGCAATTTTATAATTTTTTTCTCTTTTTTTGCTCTTTTTTTTTGACGCTGCAGTCATCAATTTGGAAATGGACAGAGAAAATTGTTAATCGATTTCAGCTGTTAACAAAATTTGTGACTGATCAAATTCTTTTCACGTTCATCTGTATATCACAACATGAGCCATAGCGTCCAAAGTAACTTTGCTCGTTACTTAGCTCGAAGTTAGCCGATCATCGTTATTGGCGTAATTCGATCTCTTCGCAAGCTAATCGACGTGTCGACAATGATCCGACTTCTCCATAACGAAATACGCTCTTCTTCTTCTTTTTCTTCTTCTGGAGCAGATTTCCCTCGTGAGTGTATTGATCGAGCACGCATTACTGCCTGCCAAACGAACCGAAATAAGCGACCGGCCCAACGACGTGCGGGATTCATTCATCGGGGAACGCATCATTGCTACGCGCGTCGCTCCTCGATGGTAGTCGGCGGTAGTGGATATCGCGCAAGCGAGACCCTCTTTCATCCGACAATCCGTTTCTCGTGCTACACTGCTCACGAGCTCAGCCACTAACGATTATACATCAGCACGAAATCTTAGAAATCATAGCTCAGCGCTGTGGCAGCAGCCCATGCCGCACGCCCATCCGCCACGAGATCCACCACTGACATCGGCGACGGTCACAGGGGACGACTTAGAGTATGCAGCAGGAAGCCGAGCAGCAACTACTCCCACCGCCTTTACTTTTTTGTCTCTGATCTGCAACAAAATGGCACACATACAATTCATTCTCATACCCTCGACTCGTCCTACTACTGACTAACGTCATAAAAAGCATAAAAAGTTCGCATAAAAAGAAACTTAAAAAAAAAACTGAATAGTATATCCGCGCGTATATAAATGTTATGTGTC